CAATGGATTATTTGTGTTGTTAAAAAATACCTTTTATTTTCTTTTTCTTAATAAAATCGTCTTTTATACTAATATTAAAAAAATATGCTCATGTATAACTATAATTTACGTTAAGTAAAATTTACAGAAAAGAATCTAAAAGTTCTCACCTTTTCGATGGACTGCTGAGTATAAGCACGGGCCCCTTGCACTAAAGCTCAATTAAAAAGGAAGAGAATTCAGGGGAAAAAAGCCAGTCAGTCTTACTCTCTTTACAAGTCCTTGGCATAATAAACGTGTTTTAAGTCAAGTCTTTTGTAGGGGTATGAGGGAGATCTTTATAGGCAGTATTTTTCTAACGCTGCCTTTCATAGCAAAACAGTTGTAAGAAAAGAAAAACAGTCCATGTTCTTACAAAAAATGACTAATCTCATGATTTTTCGATATCCAAAGTATTTTCCTTATATTATATATCCACAAAATGTGTCGTTTATTTATAAAAAATGATACTGCCAGTTAATTTGGAAGGTATAGGACACTGATGTCAGCACCTAGTTAATGTTACTTAGCTCCATTAATGTGAGCGCACTATTAGCTGACATTTACAATTATACGAGTTTTGTTATTATTTTTGTCTGCTATTTTATATCAATAGAAACTAGCTACAGTAAGTAAGTGGTGACAGCAGCACCTTTAACTAATAAACTTACAGTATACAATGCGACAAATTATCGTTTTTAAATATTATGGAAATTTAATACACGATAAAAATAAGTAATGATGTATGAACAGTCAACTTGACTCAATTTTATTTTAAACTGCTACGTACAATAAAATACTAAGCACATAAATAAATTATTACATAATTCGACTCATAGGCAGAAAGTGAAACGAGAATAAAAAACAACAAGGTGCGCTTACTTAAAAAATAAATTTTAAGAATGTCTGTAGACTTACAAAAGAATGACTGCTTATTTCATGCAGCCTTACCTAAGAAAAAGCGAAGGAAAGGGCTAAACCTGTTTTTTGTGAGCTTTACCACTTATATTTTTAATAAGCAGTCTATCCCTTATACGTCTCCAAAAGTAGCATGGTAATTCGGCCGAAGCTCCCATTACAGATACCTTTTATTCTTCGTGTCATAAGTAAAAATTAAAAAAAATTTTGAATTATTTTGCAGTAAAATTTGCAACGATTCTTGCAACGCGAAATCAATGCAAGGTACAATGCATAAAATTATGCAAGAATAGTTGCAATACAATATTTATATAACTATGCAGGAAATCTTGCAAATAAATTTGCAAGATTTCGTGCAGTTGTTTTTGCATGATCTTATGCATGAAAACTTACGTAAGGGATAATTTCTTTACCTAGCATTTTCAAGATGTTTTGTAATTCTTTGAATCTGGTCAGATCTGCTTTAAAATATTTTTTATCTGCAAAATAATAACTGGCATAATTTTTAAAGGTTCGTTAAAAAATGCAAACTTTATTTCAAAAAGATTAGAGTTATAGAAGAATTTTAGTGTTCGGAGCGTGCAGGAGTTCTCATTTCTTCTTATAACTGTCTACGCGCGCACCCTCTCACACACACACACGCACACACACACACCCACCCATACATGTGTACAGGGAGTTTCGTTAGTACTTATAACTATCCCTGTATATTTTTGTTTATTTGTTGCGCTAACATAATTTCAGATTTTGGTTTACCAGTAAATTATGATCTCTGCGTAAATACAGAAACTTACAAAAAAATGCTTCTTAGTAAACAAATTCAAATAATTTGTCTTATTTTATTAGACCAATGATTTTCCCATTATTGCTTTTTTTTATCAGGAGACTTAGGATGCAGTACAAATTATCCTTAAAATTATTTAAAAATTAATAATAAATAATAACTTTTTAACATTAATATTCATACAAACTTAAAGAACAAAACTTTAATTCTTTGTTATACACCGGAATATTAACTCAACAATTTTTCATGCATGCTTATGTTATAATTGAAAATAATTGTTTTTTTTAATGGAATGACAATATTTGGTCAGTTTCAGTCACACTTTTCTAATTTGTTGTGAACAATAAAAAAAAAATTGAATAATGATGTTTTACTGTAAGATATTAAGAACGGAAAGTTATCGCAGATACCAGCGCAAGCAAACTAATTTTTTTATTTAAATAGTCCTACACATCAGCGATAATTTATTGTAAAATTTGTTGTAAAAATTATGCAACAAAAGTTTCATTTTATTTTCATGTTATACTTCAGCAGACACTTGTTAACATTTTTTGTTTTATTTAATACATTAGTGTTACAGATTTAAGAAATCGAACATATGAGAACAACTTTTTAATTAAATATATTCAGAATACAGAAACTGTTGCTGACCTATTTCAAATGTTAATATTTAATTTTAATTTTCATAAGATAACTTACTTCATTTACGAATGTTAAATTTTTTAAGGGTGCTTAATTTTTGAATGTATCCTACTGATGTGCCTTTAAAACATAATTTCTATAAAAGCATGAACCAAATTCTGAGCACATATTTTTGTCTGATGAGTTCTGTTTGTTTATGTCCATTTGAATGGGTTTGTCTTTTGACTTTCAATACACCAAGTAAGCATTGTTTTTATCTTTCCATCAACATGCTTCTTCTTACGACGAACAACGTATTAATGGTTTCTTATTCTGGTTTAACAAAGTTTACACTTAATAGACTTTTTGGTATGTTTTTTTTTAATGAATATTCAAAGCTTCCTTATCTCCAAACGAAATAGGGAAAAATTCAGATTTAAATGAAACCATGGAACTGAAAAATAAGTTTTATTTATTAAATTTCTTGGCTATTTCTAATTTTTAAGCTAACTATAATGGTCACAGCTCCTAATTTCATTTTAATAATACAGCTTTAATAGAAAATCTGAGAAAAAAATCATATTATTATAGTCACTGACAAAAATGTTGTATCAACTATGTAAATTTTTGCACCCTTTTTTTTATGCAAATTTAAGTGTAAAATATGTCGTGATACGTGATATTTTGATATCAGTGTATTAATCTGTAATTAAAAAACTTGTTTACCTAGTTTTTTTACATTCCCAATTTCGTATATTTTTTTTTCATTTTACTTTTCCCTGGATAAAACATATTTATAAACACTGGAATGCGCAATATTCATTAATTTGATTATTACAGTTTTGGAAATAACTAAATAGCTTACGATGTACAAAGCCTTTAAGAGAAATTACAAGATGACTAAAAAAATCAATTACCTACAAAACAAAATAAATCAGTATATACGGATTATCCTACCTTAAACAGTCTTTTTCGTGTCCCAAGCAATGACAACGTCGTGTAAGGAGATATTGATTTAAAAACTTCATTTCAATCAGCAAGGGAAGTTTTCTGCTGAAAATACAACAGAGTTCAAATTATAAAAAAGTATTGCTTTAGTTTAAGTGACAAAAAATGTCTGAACTAGCTTTACGGATTTTTAACTTCTTCAAGGTATAATATGTTTCAGTCATTAACATAAACAATACTTTAACGCATGTTAAAGAATAAAAAAAATCATATCCAAGATTTGAATAGTATTCAAGTTACAAAACCGAAATCAGACAAATTTAAAATTTAAATGAAAAGTGTACTTACAAATTCACGCTACTGAAATTGAGCGTTTCAATTTAAATGTATTGTATTCTATAGGGTTTAAATATGTTACAGTAATTTTTTCCGATTTTTACATCCAGACAAGCCAGTGCTGTAGCCTCTCACATTTTCAAGTTTAATCTCCCTAACATAAACAACTGACAGCCTGCAACGCTAAATAATGTTATGTGTCTTCTCGAGGTGTTGGATTATTGATTAAGAAGGTGATGTTTCAAAATAAAGCAATTTTTTCAATGGTATAAATGTACGGTTGAAGTTTGATGAAATATAGTGCGTCACAATGTGGTTTTTTCAACGAATTTATAAAAGACTGTTAGGCTCTTTCTTCCGCTAAGAGTCCGTAACGCTTTTTATCTTCGTGTAATGTTGGATTATCGACTTAAGTAGTGACTTACGTAAATGTCGATAGTTAGTAAATAATATAAATAAGATAATAAAGTCAAATTTCTATGAAAAGTGCTTTTATCTCAGTAATTATGAGATTTTATAAAAGTCTGTTTAGTTCCTATTTCTGTGCAATGAAATAAAAAAATCGTAAAAAATTTTTGTTGTTTAGATCTAGCAAAGTCCAAAAAGTTTTAGCTTGTAACCATGGATAATACAAAAAAATTTTTGAACATTTTTATTTCTATTACTTGTGAACAAATTTTAACTCCTAAAATATTATCGTTTTCGTTGAATAATCCTTACATACATTTTGTCACTTTAATTTTTCTCAATCTCATACATACATTTACATTATAAATAACAAATTTTTGTAACCTTTGTAAATCAATATTGCTATTTTCTTTTTTTGATATTACTAAAGATTTTTTGTATGAAATAAATGAAGGAGCACATGAAAGTGAAATTAATTCTCAAAAAAAAAAGAAAAAAAAGGAGATATTTCGTTCTCCATTTCAAAATTTTTTAAGCCAAAATTGAATGCTGGAGATGAATCAGTATAAGTATATGCAGCTACTGCTTTTACTACTTTTTAAGAATACTTCTAGTCTTTATGAATATTGTTACAACAAAAACGCATTATTTCACCACAATATTTATTTTCATCAAATAATACAAGGATTAAGATTGACTTATTATCCACCTTACAAACATTACATATGGTTATTCTTTATTTCTCTATATGAATTGTATTCAAATGTCTATAAAAATAACTTTTATTAAGAAGAGACTTTTTACACCTTAAACATGAGTAATTTTTTTTAATTTTAATGTATATGTTTGTGTACAATCAAGAAATATTTTTACTGAAACTTTTTCTTACAAATCTCACAGTATTATTTAAAAATT